TTTCTGAGTAATTATTAATGTGACAACTTGTATAGAAAAGACAGAGAAATGAGAAAGTTAAGAGGATGATACAAGAAGTAGTGACGGAAGTGAAGGACAGAGTGCTTAATGAGGAAGAACAAAGTCTAATTTTTATGGATTTTATATTTTTCTGCCTTTTATTTTTAAAAGTCAATGTGATTGTATATTATGACTACATTTCTCTTTGAAGAATATGAGGGGTGAGAAACACCAAATTTTAAGTACATCCTGTCAATCAACAAATATTTATTAAGGAACAGATCTGGAAGGCTCCCTATGAGGTGTGAGTGTCACAGCATGCCACTGCTCCTGGAGCCTCATGACTCAGTTGAAGAACATAAGTCAATGCATAGAATGATAACTCGTAACCGATCACTAAATAGTGAGCTATAAATAGACGTCATAGTATAAAAATGCAATAGAACTTCCAAGAGAGTAGAATTCACTTCTAATTGAGAAGGTCAGGAAAGACTTTTCACAGTAAAGTATGCACAGATTTTTTTAAACTGCACTTACGTTCCGATAGGAAGAAAAAGATTCATTTCAAGGGTTAAGGAGTGTTTTCTTAAAAAATAGCAGAGTTGGAAATTATAAAGAGATACCTCAAAATAGTGATGGAATAATTTATAATGGTGTTGAAGTAATAATAATAGTGATGAAACTAATTCAATGAGAATAAAGTGCGTGTGTGAGGAATAAAGAAAAAGGAATTTTGCTTAGACTGCATAGAGTCTCAACTGACACACTAAATGGACTTTCAGAGAAGGAGAGCTACTTAGGGTTTTCTAGCATGGAAATGACATGGTAAAGTCATGTCTGGTGGCGGCACACGCAATGATTGAATGAAGGAGAGCTGCCGTCCTCCACAGTAAGCGGTATGTTACCGTAGCCAAAATAAGCACTCAAGCAATATTTGTTAACTCCATGGTTGATGAAGGTCTAAAGCAAATATCCTGCCTATAGGATTGGAAAGCACAGGCCATTTGTGAAAGGAAAATTAAAGATGAATCTAAAGCTCTTGATGTCATTGAAAGTGAGGTGATGAGAATCAATGAAGAGGAGTGACATCAGGAGTTCTGAGTCTGGACTATGGGGAGAACGATGGTGACTATCATGAAAAAGTAACACATCAGAAAAGAAAATGTCTGCAGTGGTGCAGTCAGTGTGAGTGAGTGGAACAGTGAACTCATTGAGTGTGATATAACACTGTGGGCCCCACTGATGAAAATCTCCCTCAGGCCATTGTGAGAGAGCATGAGATGAGGCTAGAAGTCTGAGGTGCAGATAGAGGTGTGGGAGAGGATGTGCACAGAGAGGTCAAGGGGAGATCCAAGAGAAAGGAAACTCTGACCTAGAAACAGAGGAGACAGGTCTAACTTGTTGTCACTGGCAAAGTATGAAGTGGACTTTTTTTTGGAAGTGGGTAATGCAGGAATAATAGAAGTCAATGAATGAACAACAACAACAACAAAAAGAATGGTCTAAGAGAATTGGAAAACCCAGATAGATTATCTTAAGAGATCCAGAGGAAAAAAATTCAAGTGTGAGAGTGTAATTGCTGGCAAACATTGCAACTAAACGGACAGGAAAGATTTGGAAAAGCAGGATTTTATTAATTACCATGCTATTGGTGGTTTTTTTCAAGTACGATTTTTTTCTTTTTGCTTAGAGATTTGTCAGAAATCTATACTTAGATGCCAATTGAAACTATGGTAATGATCAGATTCCACTAGGAGTATGTAAGTAGAAGATTGCAAACTAAAATTTATACAATAGATAGAAAATTAAATGGAAAACAACCAAGAAGTAACTATATTATTATATTTATAATTAATTACAGGCACACTTGGGGCTGTCAAAGTAGCAATGGTAATCTAAAGTGTTAGAAATAAGCAGAGAAGTAGAAGCATAAAAAAGAAATAAAGATTTATTGAATTTTAACAAAAGAGCATACAGTTTCAGTGCAGTGTTGAAATAGTGTCCAGAAAATATGGATTACAAAATAATGTGTCAGTGGAAACAGAAAAAAGAAGTGCAGGCAGAATATAATATAATATAATATAATATAATATAATATAATATAATATATTAATATATAATATAATTCTCTATGTGAAGAAAGAGACTTTATCATTGAATATGCATCTAAATGACACTGTTCATCTTTTGTATATATTTGAGAATTCTTATCATTGTGGGATTGCTTTTAGAATATTGACCATATATATTAGCATCTATTGAGTTTATATCAGGTGCCAAGCAGATAGTAAATTCTGGAAAAATAAATATGTATAAAGCAAAGCCCTGAGTGTTGAAGGGTAGGTAGTTATAGTACTTTTAATTAAAGAGTATTCATTTAAAAAGTGTCCCTCCTATGCTAAGTCCTTTGTTAAGTGCTTGGAACATCATGCTGAGAGCCAGACCGACAGAATCCCTACCCTCTAGGTACTTACTGGCAAGGGGATGAGTCTGCAGAAAATAAATCCATTACCAAAAGAAATGGAAAAATGAGACTACATTATAAAAAGATATAAGCAGATCTCACCAAAAGAGATTCATCCTTCTCTGGAAAGTGAGGAAGGGCTTACCTGTGGAAGTGAGGAGTGTTGGGATTTAAGAAGGAGATGAAATTGATTAGGCATGGAGAGATGAAGGACAAGGCGTGTGCAAAGGGTCTGAGGCAGAAGGAAGCCCTATGTGTACAAGGCACTAAGAGTATGAGATGAGACTGGGAAGGCAAGGAGAATACAGACCATATAGAATGCAGCTCATATGTAAGTAGCCATTGTGTTTATTTTTAAGAACAAAAACAAGTTATTCATGTGATTTAAGCAGAAATGGCATGATGAGATTTGCATATTAAGAAAAGCCCTTGATCTAGATTAGATCATTGTGCTAGCTAGTATTCTTAAACTTTACTAAGCACAACCAGGAATTTCTCAGCTGAATGCAGGGTTTAGAACATTGAGTTTAAAAATAAATAAAAGGAGTGGTCAATATTGCACATGTCTAAAGGTCAATAAAAGAATCTAACTGAGAGGGTGATGCTGAATATACAAATAAGAAGTAATCAGTGAAAGTCTAAGATTCCTATTATTGAAGAAAGAAGAGTAGATTTAGAGGAATAGACCTGATGTTCAGTTTAGGATATGTTGAGTTTCACGTGTCTGGGAGACATCAAAATGGACAATTTGAGGTAAAAATTTGACATATGCATCTGAAACTTGAGGGAGACTTCTGGAGTCAGGACGCAGACTTGAGGAGGGGGCAGGAAATTAGGGCTTGTAGTAGAAATTCATTAGCAAGGATAAGAACACCTAAGGGAGTTTTATAAAGTGAGATTAACTGTGGAACAAATGGAATTCTAGGAAACACCAACAGTTAAGTGTTGAGAGGAGGAAGATAAGTGAAGATATGTAAGCAATAACAGTCACAGTTAGGAGGAGTAAGATGTATCATCTCATTCAAAAATCATCTGAGTCAGCTGGTTCTGGTGTAACGTTTTCTTTAGACTGTGCTAGCTAAGCACACTTTTCCAGGCTTCATATGTGGTTAATATAAATGAGAATTCTGTAATACACTGAGAATGTGTTTTAAATGTAAATTCCAGAAACACACAGGCTGACTCTGTGTATATTTGTATAGGGTGTATTTGCACTTATTTGTACAGGAAAAACACAATGTGTTTCCTAAAGAAAAATTTGAAAATGGAAGATTGTTGTTTATCCCACTGAGGAAAATGCTAAAGGTGTGACTGATAAAACTAAATTTTGAGAGTGAATGAAAGAAATTATGGCCACAGTGTCCATGCACGCTGAAGGAGAGATTCGTTTGACACATTTGGAAAACTCTGCCTGCCTCTGTGTGGGCAAGCTTTTTTTTTTGCAAATGAACAGGCAATGTCTTTACGTATTAAATCACTAAGTATTCTGATCATCCTGAAGAGTGTATGCAAGTATTGCAATTTTTAGGACATGAGTGATGTTACTTAAGTAAAATTAAAAAAAACACATGGTTCCGTACAGATATTGTCTGGAAAAAATTAACAATTTGAAAATTGCTATACCAAATATGATGCCATTGGGATACTGTTTTACCATCTCCATGATGAAGTTACTTCATCTATTTTAAGAAGATGGAACTATTTTAAGAAGATGCACTAATGACTTTAGTAGGTAAAGAAACCCCAGGAGACCTCATTTGAATTGCGCAGGAGGTTTATTTTTTTTATTGTTGTTTGTTCTTTTTACCCTCTGAACAATTTCTGTGTTTTTACATGGTCTTTCCTAGCTCAGCGGGAGCTTGTAAGATATTTCTGGCCACTTGCTTGATTTGAGTTTATTTGCAATTTTGCAGTTTTACCTGGGAGACCAGGACCTTAACTCCTGAACATAAAATAACAAGAATAATGATAGTGTAGAAACACTCATGAATGCTGCTTTAATGCAGTTTTAGATCTGTCATCTGCCATTGATCCATATACACAAAATATTTATGTATATAAATTTAATTATCTATCATTAGATTGACTTCATTAACTTTCTTCTACCAGCAGTGTTTCATTTATTCGCTTTCTTCAGAATCCTTTTCTTTCATGACATTTCATGTTGAAGTCTGCATAGATTGCAGTGTTTGTTGAATAAACTTCATTATTAAGTACATTGCTCTGATCTTTGCATAATAATTTGTATAACTACCACCAGAAATAGATTTTTCCCCCTAGGAAACTAGTTTGCAGAGAAAACGTTATGAATTTTCATTGTAGTCTGTTAGTTTTTATCTCTAGGCACATTACAGTAGTATTTTTAAATGCAGTGTTTTTTTTTTTTTTAAATTTAGGACATTTTCCTTAAAAAAGATAAGGCAATCCATTATATTCTGATAATAATATGATTTAATATGATATAATGCCACGATTCGTTTATTCATTCGTTTTGATTACCATTGGCTTTTTCTAATGACCTTTTCTATATTTTCAGGGTGAAACAAAGATCTTAAAACTAAAGAATCTTCGACCTCAGGACTATGCTAATTATAGCTGCATTGCTTCAGTGAGGAATGTATGTAATATTCCTGATAAGATGGTGTCATTTAGACTTTCCAATAAAACAGGTATGGACCTATCTCTGAATGTTTTATGTCTGTTATCCACAATTAATGTTTAAAAAGCCTCTTTAACTTTCTCATAGACCACATGACTTCTATAATATGGGAACAAGGCACCTTTTTCTTCCCCAGAAAATTCTGTGATATCTGAAAAGCTTTTGGTAAAATTTAATTGCAACATACTCCGATGTAATATGTTTGTTTATATAGCATGCAAAATTATAGTTCCTTAAAATACCTTATTCATAAATGTCACAAGCAAGCTTATATCCTGTTGAAAGAAATTTCTGAGAAATATTAGATTCTTCATATAAAAATTTATGATCTACATTGGTAAAAGTGTTTTGTCATTCCAAAGCTAAGTAAAAGAACCTTTCTTTTACTCTGTTTCAAGTCAAGAAAGCTAATTGGCAATTTCAAGTAGGTGTTTTTAGGAAAGTATTTTTGTAGAAAATGTCAAAACATTAGCCAGGCTGCAACTTCGGTTAGCCTGTGTTTGGTGTTATAGACTCAGAATCACTGCAAACACGGTAAGAAGAGATGGCTAATGCGAGAACAAAGAGAGCACGTGAATGAACTGTCTTTTGTATGATTGTGTATAAAGCATCACTTTAATACATTAGAATCTGAACTGGTTTGGGGAAACTTTCAGTGGAGATTAATATATATTTTTACTTTTAAATAATTGTGTTAAAATAAAGAGTTATAAATACTTCTCCCATCAACAAAACCTTGAAAAGTGTGGGCATTGGTGGGCTTGGCTTTAGGTCCTGAATCTGCCGCTTACTAGCTCTTGGATCTTGTTGAGCAAGTCCCTTCCCTCTGCTTTGCCTCAGTTTCCTCATGAAGTTGTAGGAAAGAATTAATGAGTTGGTATATATAATATATATATTTTAATAAATGTATTGTATTTATTATTATTTAATAAATAAATATATATATAAAACATGTAGAATACACTTTATTAGTTCTTCCATCAATGAGCTAGTCAGCAATTCCATCCAGCTCATTTGGTGAAAAGATTCAACCTAAGACTATACTGAAAGATGAAAAAAAAGTGTGCTCATAAATTGATTCATCAACATATGTTAAATCAAGTTGTTAAAATTTTGAAAGGCTCCTTCTTTTATTTATTCATTCATTTATTCATCAGAAACTTATTGGGTTCCTGTTATGGCTGGGGCAGTAACAGGCGTAGAGATATTAGCTAAGATGTAAATTGTCTTAAACTCTACTACGCCTCAGATGAAAGTCATTAGAGGAAAGTAAAAGAAGAATGTGGGGGAGAAAAATAAACTTTATCAAGAAGGACAAGAAAGACTTGACGACAAATGTGCTGCAGAAAAAAGTAGAAATATAAAACCTCAGTGGACTTAAGACATAAAAATTAGTAATCTCACTTCTCTTAAAAATGACGAGATAGGATATTGAGAAATAAAAATCAGAGATTCACATATAAGAACTGGGTGTGATTATGTTGTTCTTCTTGGCTTGAAATATTTTGTGAATTACTCTAGCTAATTTTGTTTTTGTTAGTTTCTTAGATGTATATTTAAAAGACACGTTATCCAGAGAGAAAAATTAAAAATAAAATGGAAGTAGGTCCTATGGGATGGGTAAAGGCATTGCAGTGGGATAAGGAAGAACAAAATAGAAGATATATTATTACTCATGTTACCACCTTGCACTTGAGCAGTGCTTTATTAATTTTAAAGGTATTTCATATTTATTAGCTCAGTTTATCTCTAGAACCCCTGGGATGTAAGCAGGTGGATGTTTTTATCATGTCTTTTTCTATCATGTGACACATAACAAACTGGCCTGTAGCCATTAAAGTATCTTCATTGGGTTGTTTTGAGAATGAACTAAATCAACATAAACAAAAACTCTTTAAAGACTAAGAGGTACAGTAAAATTATATTTAATATTTTTGTGCTGCAGAAATGTATGGTTTTATTATTTCTCAAGGTCCCATAGCTAATAAGGGATGAGGACAAGGTTGATCCCAATGTTTGTAGGGTTTATTTTAAATAGGAGACTGACTAGCTATTCAAAAATGCTGTGGAGCTGGAGAAAATGGGAAACATTCAGCCAGAGTGTTTTATTAGGAATAAATAAGGACTTCTTATCTTAAAGCTGAAAGGAGACGATTACCACGAGAGGTGAAAAACTTCTGAGTTCCTGAGGTCTTCTGCAGCAGCTAGGTGACTATTTCTGAGATGAATTTTAACAATTACCAGCTCAGAAAACAGAGGCTTCACTCCATCCTATGGAGAGCACAGAAGCGCTGTAATATAGATGTTTTGTTTAACACTTCAATTTTCTCTTTCATTCTTTATTTTTCAGGCTAAAATACTGTATATCTAGACTGAACAGGCAAAATAACCTATTATTGCCTTTTATAAATTATCCCACACAAATTTTAGATTGGTGTTCACTACACAATGAGCATTAGAGTTATGGTAAATAATTGGGTTTAAAAATATAACCTAGGCCCTTGTTTGACTCTTCAGTGAGTATTGTCAGCCATGTCACAGGCCTGGGCTTTACGTATTTAAACCAGGTCTGCTTCAGCACTTCTCCCATCTGGTTGTGCACAAAGTTGGAAGAGTTTGTGCATTTCAAATAGGTGAAATCATTGAGGTTGCTCTCAGAGTGCACCAGGGATAAATTAAGCTTTCAGCATCTTCATGCAAACAGGTCTATAAACTGACAAGTAAGTGCATGTGGGCTAGTTCACTGCTTCCCAATGCTGGAGGAAGATCATGAGTCAGCATTAACATCCTCACTGTGCAAGTCAGGCCCTCTTTTAGTTTTCACTCTTGTGAATCTCTAATTGACACAAAGTGCTCATATTTTTAACTCTTGTTTTGTAAAATTCCAGGGAAAACATGTGACATCGAGGGAGAGATATTCTCTTATAAATACTATAATATGTTTGGTTAATCTCATCTATAAATCAATCAGTTTATGAAAGCGTTACTTTGGAAATACTTTTTGTAAGGGAGATCAAATAATTGACTAATAAATGTATTTTTGGTACAGACAAAATTTCATTTTAGTATCTCTATAGTTAAACTTTTTAAGTGCGATCAGTCTGTTGACCTGATTTGCACAATGCCCACATGACAAAGCATTTGAAGATGGACACAACATCTGCTGGGGTAAGGATTTCTAAAAGTTTCTCGAGCAGAACAATTGCATCATAGACTGCAGTTTCCTGGGCCCATCCCATACGTGCTGAATTAAACTTTCTGGGGAATGACAGGGCAATGTACACACTTTGAACAAGCATAAATAATCGCTTTGGAAAACAAATGCTGTCTTTGTTATCAGACTTTTCTGTGAAACCATTGCCTTTTATGAATAGGAGCCTTTGTTAATAAAAATCAATTTTTTAGACCTGCATAGAAAAGCGATGTCTAGGTGTCATTTTGAAAGTCAGTGTCATCTATGGATTTACCAATAGTGTGTTTTCTTAGTTTTCCTACTCTGAATTGGCATTATGGTAGAGCTCATAATTGTGTGTCTGCTGTGGAGTGTCCAATCGTTTGTTGACCCTGTTGATTACTCGGCGTGCTATGAAAAATCTCCCGTCACAAAAGTGTCGTTATTTACCACACCTAATCTAGCTGTCTTAGACCTCATCATGACCATTTACAGAATTTTACAAAACATAAAATGTTATGTTTATGCACACTCTCTGGCCAATTGACATAATGTTTTAGCAGGGTCCAAACGTCGTTTCTGTTGTTCTCCTACCCCCATTTGGAAGAAAAAGTATATTAGCTCTTGATCAGTAAATTTGTAATGTAGGTATATTTTTCATAGTTTATTAAAATTAACCTGTTAAGATTTGTAAACTTAGAATGTTAATACATGTAAATGTATTTTAAAATTATCCTAATTATGCTAACTTGAAATATAAACCATCTTAACTTTCTCAGATTATGTGTATATCTAACATGAGGGCACATAGGAATTATGATAAAATAAATTTAATTTATTTTAATATATTTTAAGCACTTATATGCTGATGTCTCATGATTTCAAAAGCAAATAATTAAGTAGGTTACTTATATTAGGATGAAAAACGTATTTTTTACCTGCTTGCGAGGTTATGATGAATTCTATAAAGAAATGGGATAGGTGGGGCTAAGTTTATTTAATTATATAGATCCTTTGATTCAGTCTGCTCAAACTTAGCATTTACAAAGATTATCTAATTAAATCTCTTCCTTAAATGTGTGTTACATCTTGGAACCAAGTCATCGCAAAAGTATCACTGGCTATAGAAATAGGAGAAACCTACACCCCCTCTCCCCTGCTCCCCTCTCTCTTTCTTCTTCTTTCTCTTTGTTTCCCTTCCAATCTGTCTCAATAAATTATCGTGGGAGAAGATAAAGGTTAGGAAACATCTCTGTTCTCTATGTTATATAACTATTAACTGTTCCTATTATTTTATATAACCCATAGGGAAGTTGTAATATGAACACCCACCAATTACCATGAACTTCAATAGAAAACTTTTTGTATGCTGTGATCTATTCATGGTAGTTCTCTCCTCTGTGTAGAGGAATTTAACTAATCTAAGTGTTATAAGAAATAAAATAATATTTCAGTTATAGGAGTTTTATAGGAATAGCTGTGGATATGAAACAAAAATGCATAAACACTTCCTTTTGTAAAACGGCATGGCCATTGTCGTAGATAGCCAGTTTAAGTGCAAAAGGAAGGGGCAGTAGAAATTTTGCTGTCATCTGCACCTGGGTACTAACCTCACGCCATACGGATATTCCAGTGTCTTGCCTTTAGATGGCCTCCACAGCACCTAGGCAATCAGTAGCACCATTTATTAGAACTTAGATATGTTATTTCATCAATAATCACAGCTTTGAAAAAAGATTAAGTTTGTGAGAAATACATGGTGCAAATACGATGACTTGCTGTGTTAGTCTGCTTGGGCTGCCATGACAGAATACCAAGACTAGGTGTCTTAAACGACA